TAAAAAAGATTTCGAACAACAAAACAAAAGAAAGCAAATCTCTTTCTTATACTATCGCTTAAAACGCTTCGAAGGGGGATAATTCACCCGTGGCGGTCTCCCGCGCGAGAATCGTATTAAGACGTGAAAACCTTCGATCCTCCTTTTGCCTTCCCACCTTTTCAATTTAATAAATTCGCGTGGAGGGCGACGGCCACGATTTTCATAAGGTATCGCAGCTTAATGGAGCGAAAGAGGAAGGTGACGCGAGCAAGATGCATCGTTTTAGCCGGATGTTGGATCGCTGTAGGCACTTTAAGTGCGCCCTCACCCATACACCGGGTGTTGGAAAAGAAAAAGAAGAAGCGCGTTTGAAAATAATAATTACATTTTCCAAAGGATTGGATCGACAAACATGGGGAAATAAATAAGCTTGCCAAGCTTTCTCAAGCGTTTCAATGGTGTTTAATTGCAGAGAGAAATGTTTTCCTCCCTCCACCTCGTTCGAGGAAACGAAATAAAATTGAAAAGGGAAAGAGAAACCGAGCAATTCAGAGATTCAAGAACTCTACTTTCCGTAATTCCTCGCGTTTATACTAATTCAATACAATTATATAACGAATTCTTTGCTGCTTTATGCTTTATTCTAGTGGAAGCTAATTAATCTTGTTATTCTTGTTTCGAGTGTTGAGTAACACGTTATACATACTTTTTTCTAATCAGTTTTATTTATTTTATCGCGCGAAAAGAGGGAATTCTCTTCTCGAGATACGTTCGAACTGCTTCGCGCGCCATCTTAAAAGGAAAAAATGGCGTCCCTTAAAAATCAATTTTTCAAGTTTTTCGCGAATAATTATTCGCAAAAATATCTCTTTCATTTGAAATTCCTGCTCGTTCACTTCTCCTCTTGTTGTTTATCTTGAAATATTGTTGATTGTGCTTCTCCAACACCCCGTAGATGGGAATGGAACAGGCGAGTCGTTGCCCCAATGGCGGCTGGCTGCCGTACACGTAATATGATTTGCGTAGGTTAACTACACCTTTTTCGTTTCTTCTCGATGGCCAAATACGGCGTCCCGCGTGGAATTAAATTTTCATTTGTGGCGCGTAAGGGAATCGGGCGTGTTCTCGCAAATTCGATAAGAAGAAGAGCGAATCGATTAAATTTACGATTAAATTATCGTTTTAAATCGAAAGATGGAAACATCGAATGGAAATATAAATATCTTAATAAAAATTTTTTCAAAGAAAGAAAAGAGTGAGGGTGGAAAGAGAAGAGAAATTTATTCGATCCCTTCAAGTGGTGGAAAATTTCTCTGCCCCCCATTCACATCCTTTGATTTTTCAACAATTTTCAAAATCGTCTTAAACGCGATATCGCGACGACGATAAATAACGCATTGAATAAATTTTTAATAACACAAAGTGCAGCTTGCCCGGGGAGCGAAACTTTTTTGCAATTATAGGAGAACGTTATTATTTCTCTTTCCAGTCTATTAACCCGTATCTCCTTGTCTGCATTAAATATCAAGTTTCTTTTCTTTTTTTTTTTTTTTTTTTTTGTCCCCTCTCGTAGTCTTTCCAGTCTTCCAGCACAACTTTCTTATCTCAATTATTCTTTCGGTGAATAATCCTCAGAGAAAGAGGCGTGGCTTCGGAAAAACTTTATACCTTTATAAAGAGAAAAGTTTCCGTTATACTCGAGTTTTAAATTGAACAAATGATTACAAATAAAAAAAAAGAAAAAGCTTCCCTTCGCTCATTCGCGAGGGATTGTTATTATCGCGTTGGAAAAGTTGAGGAACAAAACAATCCCAAAAAAATTAGGTAACCAAAATTTTTTCGATCCCTCTTTTTAATCAATCGATCCCCCTCGATGCAACTTTGCAATTTTCCCCGATAAACGATAGAATATTTCTCCCTCCCTCTTTTTCACGGAATATCTCGTTCGAGTCGAGGGATCGTAAACAAAAGGAGGCCGAGTTGAGTTGAATTTTTCTCGCAATGCGAGTTATCGAGTCCATCCTTCCAACCGGTTCAAAAAATTTAAGGTTAAACTTGCGATATTTCGCTTGGCCAACAATATTTCGCGAGCAAAGCTTCGTTAATAACCGCGATTAAATTGCGGTTTCAAAGCCTCGCTGTGTCCGCGTGCGCGTGTATGGTCGCATCGTTTCCAGGCAACGAATAAATGGAAATATTATTTATAAAAAAAAATACCGAACGATTTCGGTTTTTAATTAAACGGTATTTGTTTCAGCCCAACGGCGAATATTTCAATCTGTTGACAGATTATTTTCGACGAACGATACTTTCCGCGCTTTATTATTCCGATATTTTTCTCCATTCCACGATTTATTTCAAGAATTTCGAGAAAATTTTGAAAGAATATTAGGACAATTATTATTTCGTTTTTCTTTTTTTCCTTCGCCGGTTCGAAGAATTTCCTCTTTTTTTTCTCTCGTTCGGAGAGCGACAGATGGAAAACGCGTGTGCGAAAAAACTTTCTTCCAGGGAAAAAGAAGAAAAGGTTCGATCGAAGGTTTTTCGAAAACGAGTACACGAGATTCTCGAGACATTCCCGAGACGTGAGAGGAATCATGCATTGACCTTTCGTCCCTGCCATCCTATTTCATCCCCCTAAATCCCACATCAGACCGCGGGATGAACCTTATCCACGCTCCTTTTTCTTTCTCTTTCTCATCGGGGAGTGCACGCGGGATGTTCATAAATCAGTCGATTACTTAGCTGTGTTTGAAAGCTTCTTGAAAAAAGAGAGGAGAAAAAAAAAAGAGCGACATCGGCGAAGCGTGAATCCGTTTAAAAAAGAAGGGAAAAAGAGCGTGCGTCGACGAAGAGTTATGGAGGCATTCGTCTTGCGTCGACAAGATTTTTCGCGCATAATTCCCCGACTTGAATGAATATATTATGGAGAAGATATTGATAAAATAATATCTCCGTTCGAGCGTGTAATAATAATAATAAGACTTGTAGAGATTTATAGGTTTATATTTACGAAGATAAATTCGACTCGACGGATCATCCATGAAAATTGTCGAATGAAATATTTATTTCGATTATTATTCCGTTCTGTTTATACATCGAATTTTTAACATTCATGTCGAGAACAAGTCACGTGTATTATATCTAATTGGAGGATGACAATGGTATATAATTGGGATGGTAAAATTGGAATCCGGAGGAATTCTCCTTTTCTTTTCTTTTAGCGAATGAAACAAAACGGTTTCTCCGTGCGGGTAATCTGGGATGAAGCGTAATTAAGAGGAGCGTGATTTATCCCTGAGAAGCCTTTTGTCTTTTACAACACGAGTCTTTCTCGAGACTTCCCTGTTTACGGAAACAGAGAAAATTACTATTTTTAACGATATTTTAATTCCTCCATTCTCTTCTCGTATCATACGTGACATTTTATTATTCCGTAAATTATTCCGATATTTCATCTCTGTAATTTACAACAATTTTACGTTTCTCTGGCCGCCTCCCTGCAAAGGTCTTTTCGGAATGCGTTCGAAATACGTATTTCTCTGGTAAGTGTGTAAGAAGAGAGTCCTTTTGAAGGGAAGAGAATTCCGTTCCGTTGAAACATTTTCCAACCTTGCTTCTTCGAGTAGCATTTACTCTTGCTGATTTTTCAAAAGTGAACGGACAAGAAAATTAAAATTTCCCAAGCGAATTTATTGAATTTATAAATATTATTTTAAATAAATCGAATACGTTCGTTTTCCCCCAAAATCCTTTCATCCAAAATTTGCAAAGAAACGAGCGATCGAAGAAGGAACTTCATTAATCATTCGAATCCGATCCCCAAAATTAATTAACCGAACGATCTGCAAACTGGCCAGGCGCCAGTAAAACGCCTCGAGCCTTTCTTCTTCCCTCCTCCTTATTTTCCCTCCTTCCTTTTCCTCTAATTATGAGGAAGAAAGTTGAAAAAGTTGGTCGATCGGGAAAGTTGGTTCGTTTTTTTCACTTTACTCGACCACGTTCACGAGGTGGCCCTCCAAAACAGGTTGTTCCCCTGCGCGTTCGAGGCGAGAAAGGTTACGGTTTTCTCGCGAAAACATTGTTCAAAATTCAATTTTTCGCAAAGTCGTCCGCGCGTTAAAGATATTCAGACTTCAGATCGTGCGGGTGGAAACCTCTGGTTTCGAATTAAAAAAAAAAAAAGTTTCCTTGCGTTGAAAATACAGACGTCACGAAGAGTAGCGAGAAAAAGAACGTTTCTCAATTTAAAAACAAGATATAAAACCTCCGCCTCCGTCTGACAGAGTTTAATCGAGAATTAAATTTACATACGGTGGTGGCTTCGAGGAGAGATTACATCTCCACGATCTTTTTCATTTATTCTTCGTTTATTCTTCCTTCTACCTGGGAAGGAAGGAAATGTACTTACAGGGATTGGATTAAAAGATGAAACAACGTTCGAGGAATAATTTTTAACCGGGGTTTCTCGCCGGATGAATTTTCAATTTTTCTTTTTTTATTAAATTTTCTTTCTTAATCCCCTCCTCCTGTTAAAATCCGTTCCAAGCCATAAAATCCGATCCGATGAATAGAATTAATTGAAACTCTCTCTCTCTCTCTCTCTCACTCGAAGAATTCTTAATTCATCGTCGGTCTGTTTCTCGTCTCGTTAGCCTCGAACTATCGAGAGAACAATAAGTAAAGGGATGGGTTCGAATGGTCCAAGGCAAATTCGATCTTAATTGTCGCGTTGGCACGCTCAAATATTGGATTCCTCGCCAAAGAATTCCTAATCCAACTTGCAACAACATAAGAATATTCCATTTATTCGAATTTTTTTAGAAATTTTAAAATTAGAAAGTTAATAATATTTATGAGAATAGGACGTCTACATTATGGACGCGATCTCTATCGATCGGATTGTTGTAACAGTTTAACAATTATTGAATGTCGAGATTACATTCGATGGAATATAATTTCTGTGTATTAATAAGAGATAACAAAGTGTGGTTGCTGTAACGGAATTGGCGACTTACCGGTCGGGCTGGGCGTGAGCGATTTCATCGCCACCTTCACGTGGATGTCGTACCGCTCGAAAAGCCTCAATTTCCGGCCCTTCGTGCTTTTCTGCAACGTGTGGATAGCCGAAGTCACCGCCTTCGTGTACTCCCTTACCTCGAACGATTTGTGAGGAACCATCATGCCCACCTGTTACACGCAACACTTCGAATTAACGGGATTGAAATTTCTTACGATCGTCGGCGGGTAGTTTTCAGTCTACTTACCACTTGCATCGCGTTGTTTCGAGTATGAAGGTGGAGAGAATTTTTTTTAGTCGAATTCGAGAAATTTGTATTAAATTAATGTCGAGTAATTTTTCGATCATTTCCTTTTTTTTTAGAAAAAGTAAAATGTGACGTTTACGTAGCGTTTAAATAATTTCGAAAATTACCGTGCTCAATCGCATTTGCTTTATGCGAAAAGTACGAATCATCGATCGATACGATCAATATATAATAACCGAATTAATTAATTAATAATTTCGTCACATCTATTAAAATTTATCACCAAGTGACGATTATTAATTGATCGAAACAATAATCTCGATAATCAATTTCTTTCAATAAGATGGGGTATAATTAATCGAGTGATTATCGATCAAACGTTTCGACATATTAAAGAGATTGAAACGCGAGATCGAATATCCTGAATTATTCGTTTCCTTCTTCAAAAATTACATTCTTTTTAATCTTCAAGATCAAAATATAAATCAACAACAACAAAAAGAAATACTCGAGCGATTCGTAGAACGAAAAATTTACTTCTTGAAATTTTCATCGTTATATTTGGAAGAAAGAGAATGGCAGCGCAGTTTCGCCATTTCTTCGCCACTTATTCGAAGACTAGGGACGCGATACAACGCGATACAGGCGCGGGTATTACGCATTGAAACGGGCGAAAAAGTGCATCCAGAGTGTTCACTTTGTTACGACCAGAATGGATCAGCTAGCACCTGTTGCGCTGAATCGATCGTGCCGGATGAATGGTATATACGTAGGCAGAGAGCGGGCAGAGTATAAGTTAACATCACTGCCTACCACCGTCCTCCATCTTTCAACGCGCTCGACAGCTGATTAGCAGAACACTCCAAGCGTGGACAACGATCGAGAGTTCTATTAATTTTCAGTCGAGATTAATATGATATAAAAATGAGAAGGCTACTCGTATCTTTGTACGTTTGCGAATAGTTGATGTTACGAAGTTAAAGTTACTTATGATGATTTGTGGGTGGTCGAGCTTTAACGAAGAACGAAGCAATAATTTTAATTTTTTAGATAATTCCTTAAGATAATTCTATTCGAAATTTTTAACTAGTTAAAACTTCTGTCCAACGTGGAGAACGATCGAGGATTTTTATTAACTTTTTTTTTATCGTTTTGATGACCAATGCGCTTGTGCAAAAGGATGCAAAAAAGCGTGTACTTTTCGACAGCGGATTCATTATTGAAATTGAAGATGGATAGAAGCAGGATACAATTTTTTAAAGGATGTTTGAAGGATTGGATGTACGAAATGGGACACGATGTACAATTAAGACATATTTTGCGGAAAAGTTTTGTGGTTTTTGCACGAGAGAAGAAGAGGAAATGCATTTTTCATCCTCGCCTTGAAATATATGGTTAATTAGAAATATAAATCATCCCGCAACTAACAATTAGACGCGACCCAGTTTCCCATGGAACGTGTCGCCATAATTGCCACCGTTTTCGCGGTAGTTTAAGCTAATGCATTAAAAATTGGCCTCTCCTTTTTCCGTTCTCCTTCATCCGTTTCCTCTACTCATTTCTTTCTTTTTTTTTTACCGTTCGTTTCGTTTCTCTCGCTGTTATATTTCATTCTCTCGTCCCGTTTTTTTTCCTTTTCTTTTTTTTAGGTTTTTTCGACCGTTCGACTTTTTTCTTTCGTTTTTCGCGGCGCTCTTCTTCTTTCTCGCATCATTTCTTATCCTTCAATTTTTGCTCCTTTTATCGTCCTCTTTCCTCACACATTTTTTTTTCTTCACTCGTGCCACGAATTTTTTCATTTTCCCTTCTTATTATCCTGCTTCTTTTCTATCCTCCTCGCACCGCACGCATTTTCTTTCCATTTCTCTCTCTCTCTCTCTCTTTTTTAATTCAAGTCCGCTTTTCATTTGTTTCTCACAGCGACGCTATTTTCTCCAAAAATATTATAATCCTCGCTCTTCTGTCAAAATTGAAAGAAATATTTTCTCGAAGGGAAATTCCTTTTTTTTCGTGTTGCACGCGAAACGAATCTAAAATTAAACTCTTTCGAACAATCGTAAAAAAACAAATCTCGAATCGCGTTACCCATTCTTTCTAAAAATCGAACGCCACATTCTTCCGCATCCTGGTATCGAATCATTCGAAAGAAATAACACGCGTAAGTGTTGGAAAATTATAATAATAG